CTGCTCTTAATTCTTGTTCTGGTTGTAGAAGGTAAGTGGCGTATACAGCAGACTTCCACCGGCCTAATCTTTTAATTATGTGAGTTGGTACGTTGTGGCTTGAAGCTGCCGAAGCGGCTCCAATTCTGAATGAGTGTCCAGAAAATCCTGTGGGGTCGAGACCGCATCTGATGAACAGAGTTCTGATGTAATGTATGAACTTATCAGAAACATAGAAACATAGAAACATAGAATGTGACGGCAGATAAGAACCATTCAGCCCATCTAGTCTGCCCAATTTTCTAAATACTTTCATTAGTCCCTAGGCTTATCTTATAGTTAGGATAGCCTTATGCCTATCCCACGCATGCTTAAACTCCTTTACTGTGTCCTCTTGTTGTGGTAGTTTTTCTTCTTTTAAATATAGTCTCCTCCTTTACTGTGTTGATTCCCTTTATATATTTAAATGTTTCTATCATATCCCCCCTGTCCCTTTCCTCCAAGCTATACATGTTAAGATCCATTAACCTTTCCTGGTAAGTTTTATCCCGCAATCCATGATCCAGTTTAGTAGCCCTTCTCTGAACCCTCTCTAAGGTATAAATATCCTTCTGAAGATACGGTCTCCAGTGGTTAAGGGGTAACCGTGTAATGAGAGTATTGGGGTATTCGGACTGAGACCTGTCAGGGTAGCCAGATATGTGTCAAGTACTGTGACTGGGCACCACCGTTTGCCGGTGGGATAATAGCAGATCTTGGTAGGTGGGCCTAGCTGATTAGTTTTTGTGTGATCTAAGGTGAGTATGTAGTGATCTGTATGTCTTTGGAGGTTCATAATCTTGAGGTGCTGGTGATGACATGAGACACTATTGGTGGTGAACTCGTTTGGTCGTAGGAAACCATAAATGGCTAGGTAAGTCGCTGTCTTGATAACTAGATTGGTATTGGTTTCAAATGGCTTGGAGTCCAGGATATTGGAGAGTGCGTGAAACTTGGGACCATCTATAGGAAGTCTGGAAGAGGTAGTGGGTAAGTCTAATCTTTGTATGCCTTTCAATATGTTTTTCACGGGATAGGAATACATAAAGGGTTCTGAACTAGATACTAATGATGTGGTGTTGAATACCAGAGAGATACAGTTTGTATAGTGTTTATTGATAATTTAAGGTTAAGGTGGCAAAAGGAGATAAATGCAATAATAGAATCTAGTGAATGAGTGTCGCTTATCTGATAATCTGTCGTGAATTTGGTATATATAGTGAATGCTCGATTGAATGCACGGGATGTGTTAGTGGATAGGGCTGCTCCGGCTAGGTATCTGCTGTGAGATAGCAGTCTCTCTAGTCTAGGATGAGGTCTTGGTATGAGGGGGTGCTGACCGGTCTGGAGTTGGCTGTGGGATGTGTCCTGAAGAAAACCTGTAAGTTAAATTGAGACAACGCGTCAGCAGCTGTATTGGTGCTTCTTGGAATGTGGATGCACGTGATGTGACATTGTTGTGTCGCTGCTAACCAAGTTAGCCTTCGGATCAATTTCATTATGGTGAGTGAGGAGGATCTACCCTTGTTTATTATGTCATAGGCTGCTTTGTTGTCGGAAAAGCATTTTACTGCTTTCCCCTGCCATAAGTGTCCCCATACTCTGGCGGCTGTCACAATCGGATAGATTTCGAATAGGGCTGATTAGTGTTAAATGTGGGCAAACCAAGGGTTTCTGCCGGCCAGGAATCTCTAAACCAGTCATTGTGAAAGATGGCCTCAAACCCTGTGTGAGCTGCGGCATCGGTCCAGATGAATGGTGAGGATTCTGATAAGGGTGTGATGAACATGGCTTTCCCATTCAAATGAGATAGGAACCGTAGCCACATGAGTAGATCTGCCCTGGCGTGAGCATCTAGCGATAAGGTGCTGGAGTCAGTATTGAGTAAAGGGAGAAGGCACAACAATCTAGAGATGAATGCCCGGCCTTGAGGAATAATCTTCATGGAGAAGTTCAACGTGCCCAGTAAGGATTGTAGGTCTGACCTGGTACACGTGTCCTTAACCAGAAAATACTCCACTATCTCTATGATTTGTTGCACCTTCTCCCCTGGTAGACTAGCGTGTAAGGTAACAGTGTCTAGGTGAATACCCAGGAACGTAAGATTTGTGGTATGGCCTAACGTCTTTTCTTGGGACAGTGGTACCCCAATGCTGCAAATAGGGCCAGTGTCTTCTGGAGACTGACTGGAGAGGACTGAGGTGGTTCTATCATGAGAAAGTCATCCAGATAGTGCAGAACTGAGGGGCAATGAGTGATATTGAGAAGTAGCCAGCATAGTTTGTTGGAAAATATAATAATAATAATTTGGGGCTGCTTTTGGATCTGAAAGTAAGGCGGGTAGCAAAGTAGTATTTGTTCTCCCATTTGATGCCATGCACGTGCCACAAGGATAGGTGAATGGGTAGGAGCTTGAAAGCGTTAGAAATATTGGTTTTACCCAACCAAGCTCCTACCCCTGCCCCAAGAATGGTCTGAATGGCATCGTCCACTGTGGTGTATTGCAGGGAAAACTCCTCCAAAGGTATTAATAAATTAATGCTGGGGGTTGCTAAAGAATGCGGAGCGGACAAGTCATAAATAAGTCTCTTTTTATTGTTGAACTTTACAGCGGCAATACCAATAGGGATGGTACGCCAACTGGAAAATGGAGGGTGAGAGAAGGGGCCCAAGATAAATCCATTAGTCAGTTCTTTCGTGAGTAGTGACTTTGTGGTGACCGGGTCAAGGATAGCTGGCTGTAAGATGGGACATTCATGAATACCTGTGGGGAGTGTAACTAGGCCCGTGTGGAAACCATCAGTGAAGCCTTGGATGAGGAAGTCGACTAAGTGATGGGAAGGGTGTGCATGGAGGTAAAATGAAAGGTTGTCAATGCTAACTTCAGTTAGTCATTGTTTTGGGTACAGACGATTGGGACACATAGTTTTGGTGTGTGCTCTGAAGCAAATTGAGCAGACGTGCACAAGCTAAATCCACAACTTCCTGAATTAAAGTTGTTGCAGATCTGAGCTTTCCCAAGGTATACTATGTGTCTGCCCAATTTGTCCTTCAATCCTCTGTGCTGCAGTGGAGGAACCAAAGGAAGCATGACTAGTGGTAGGAAGGCTAGGATCGACTGGGCACAAGTTGGTGGAGTGTGAGCAGGGCAAGATAAACAGTGGTTTTGTCAGAGTCCATACAGATGTTTAAACTGAAATTGGATAAATACTTACAAAAACATAACATAGAGGGATATAATTTCTAATTAGTGGGGTAATAGCTGCTTGATCCAAGGAGACATCTGACTGCTATTTTGGGGTCAAGAAGGAATTTTTTCCAAGTTTGTGGCAAAATTGGAAGTGCTTCAGACCAGGTTTTTTGCCTTCTTTTGGATCAACAGCAACAACATTTGTGAGGAAGGCTGAACTTGATGGACGCAAGTCTCTTTTCAGCTATGTAACTATGTAACAGCCTATTGGGCCTGGGGTTGACAATTATGATGGGCCTAATTACAGAATCTTATCGACCAAAAAAACTAAAACAATCATACCTCCCAAGCATCATGTATCTGATGGAGATGGTGTTGGAGGGAAACTCAAAGGATGCAGCTATACGAAAACACATAGTCTATGCTAATCTCTCTCTAATTTATGCTTTCATCTTTCAAATAAATCCATACCGCCTAACAGCAGTATCCAGTGAAGCAGGAAGTCAATGTGCAGGATAAAAAAGTGTGCCAAAAAGGGGGCATTGTTTGTCCAAAGAATTGGAAGACCAGCTTGGAATGAATGCATGCCAGACTGCCTGCCAATCATGCAGGCTGTCCAACTAAGGGCATAATATGCAGGCAGCACCCTGAGCTTGACATAAATGCATCAAATGATGCACCTACTGCACACTTTCTAAGGACTGTCCCCTAGCACTCACATGTCCACTTGTCTCCTTATCATCTTACTAGCAGGCAGAAGTTCCTGGTATATAGTCTGAGACAGAAAAAAGGAGTATGTAGTGAGTGTAGAAGAAAGTGGACATGCCACAGTGTTAGAGAGACCAAAGTCTGAATTATCTAAACTTATTTTATTGTCAGCCAGTCCACACAGGTTTTGTTCTCATGCATCCCTCTTAAGCTTCCAAACTTAAAGGGACACTATAATCACCAGAACAACTACAGCTTATTGTATTTGTTCTGGTAAGTAGAATCATTCCCTCCAGGCTTTTTGCAGTAAACACTGTCTTTTCAGAGAAAATAACTCTTATGGGCACTCCTTAGATGGCTGCTAGAGGTGCCTCCTGGGGCAGTACTGCCTAGTGTACAGCACCGCCATTCAGTGTCTCCACTCTCTGCATGCAGACACTGAACTTTCCTCATAGAGATGCATTGAATAAGTTTATCTTCATGAGGAGATGCTGATTGGCCAGGGCTATGTTTGACTTGTGCTGGCTCTGCCCCTGATCTGCCTAGTTGACAGTCTCAGCCAATCCTATGAGGAAGCATTGTAATTTGCGCAGACCACCACTTCTAATGATGTCCGCAGACAGAGTCAGTTCAGAGGCAGACAGGGACAGAGCCAGCAGCTGCATACTTGAATACAAGTAAGAGTTTACTATATTTATGGAGGCCAGGGGGCTAAATAATGGTTTTAACATAATAAGGTCAGAAATACATGATTGTGTTCCTGACCCTCTAGTGTTCATTTAAGCAAGAGTATGTGAAGAGTAGTTAGGGTTGCCACCTTTCTTGGAAAAAAATACCAGCCTTATACATTTGAATAATTAATTAGTTATGTGTGTCATCACATGATGTAAATCACAAGGAGTGACATAAGAGAAAATTCTGTAAAATCACCAACAAACTACTCACAGTTTGATTTTGCTGTATAGATGGATTGCTCCCAGTGTCTCCCTCTCTCCCAGTGTCTCAGTCTCGCAAGTCACCCAGTCTCTCAGTGTCCCTATGTATCACAGTGTCAGTGTCCCCATGTCGCCCAGTCCCCGGGTCTCCCAGTGTCTCAGTGTTCCCATTTCTCCCAGGGTCCCCATGTCACTAAGAGACCCAGGGACACTGAGACACTTGGGGACCCTGGGAGACATGGGGCACTGAGACACTTGGGGACACTGGGAGGCATGGAGACACTGAGTCACTAGGGACACTGGGAGACATGGGGGCACAGGCACTGGGAGACTAGGGGACACTGAGACACTAGGGACACTGAGACATGGGGACACAGACACTGGGAGACTAGGGAACACTGGGAGACATGGGAACACTGTGTCCTTAGTGTCTCTGTGTCCCAATGTCCCTATGTCTCACAGTGTCCCCATGTGTCTCAGTGTCCCCATTTCTCTCAGTGTCCCCGTGTTTTCCAGTGACCCAAGTGTCTCAGTGTCCCCAGGTCTCCCAGTATCCCCTAGTGTCTGTGTCCCCATGTGTTCCCTAGTTTCTCAGTGTCCCCTAGTGTCTCAGTGTCCCCATGTCTCGATGCTGCCTTTCCCCCCATCCCTCACTTACCTGAGCTGTAGAACTCCTGTCTGGACTCTCTGTTCTGTTTAGCTGCTCCCCCATGGATCAGTGAGTAGTAGAGAAAGGCAGGGAGGGATATGCTGTAACTTCCCATCCCTGCCTCTCTCCACACACAGTGACCCCTACTGGCCGGTGCTGGTATTGCAGAGTAATTTCCATTTATACTGAGAAAAATACCTGCATTTGTATTGCCTGTATAACTGCAATACTGGCACTGGCCAGGCAGCCTCAAATACCAGCTGTGCCAGTAAAATACCAGTCAGGCGGCAAACCTAAGAGTAGTGTGTAAAAAAAAAATAAAAAAAATAAAAAATATATATATATATATATATATATATATATATTTTTTTTTAAATGGGTCTATTCCATGGGCCCGGGCCTGGGCCTGGAGCTGCAGCTCCATCAGCCCCTATGTTAATCTGGCCCTGAGTGCTTTTGGCCAGTGAAGTGGTGGCAGAAAAGTTCTGTATCCAGGTTACTACAGTTGGTATGGGTGTTAAATTGAATAAGGGACGCTGCCGCCTTGGCTGAAAAAGATTTATGATAATCGTAGAAAGAAAATCCTGCATACTTGTGCCCTAGGTCCACCAACTTGTGCATGTACAAGTCCAATTCCTCCCTATGGTGCAGGGAGGTGGAAAAAATTACGTCATGATAGAGGCCAAAGGCAAGGACAAACTCAGGTATGGTGAGCTTTCTCAGTTGAGCCTAGGATCTTTGGCTTTTAGCACAACCGAAAGATCACCGTAGCAATAGGCCTTGTTTTCGACCACATCTTGGGAGGCGATCAATAGCAATACAAGGTTTATGTCCTTGCCTTACAGAATATCTTTGCGCATTGTCAGGGGTACAAAGTGTGCAGGCGTGATGATGTGAGTGGACATGCTTGGCATAGGGTTTATGGGAGTGTCATTACCGTGGGGGAGGAGAGCCAAAGTGGGGATTGGTATGGGTGAGGTGATTGTCGAAGTCTGAGGGGTTTCCAGCTTGTCCAGCCTAGCGCTGATCATGGTGATTGAGGTCAGGAGAGATGACATCTGACCCTTGATCTCATTATAGTTTTCAGAATTCAGAACCACTCCAGGCTGGGGAGTACACGTGTTAGTGATGAAAATTTTGTATAGTTTGGCCTTGAGGGCTGTAGCTGGAAACGGGACCTCCATGCGACGTGATTCGGCCTCGAGCTTGGGGATGGTCCATGACCGGAGAGCGTATGGGCTGGCTGGTTCTAAGTTCTTGGTAGGTGTGCTTGGGCCAGCCGGGGTGGCAGGCCTAGTTAGGGTTTCAGGTATGGCCAGCTCTTCTTCTTGGTCATTGGATTGAGACATACTAGAAATGAAAACAGAGTAAGAGACGGGACCTTGATCGTGAGCAAAGGTGCCTGAGTCAACTGGTGCTAGCTAGGCCAGAGGCGAAACATTATCTGTTCTACAAGGAAGGTGAAGCCCTACTAGTGCCAAGTGGCGAGAGGGCAGGGACGTAAGGAGTTAGTGATAAATTTCATATATAAAGAACATAACAAGGACAGGACAAGCCTCCGGTGTGGGGTACGCTGGAGTCTATTTTTCTTACCGTATGATCAGAGACAGAATGCGTCTTTAACTGAGGCAGTCAGGTGTGGCTGTGAGTAGAGGTAATGTTTAGAAAATACCTGGTATAGGGGACAGGTAATGTATTGTAGTGTATTGTAGGTATTAGTAACGTGGAACGTTTTAAGGTTAATACACGAATAACAGTGTTTATGGTATAGTTAGCGTATTGCAGTTAGAATGCTATATGGGTATAATTATGCTGTAAAATGCATCAATAGGGATACCTATGGTGACTTGTCAAGCAAACATATGATGAATTTTATACACGATTTAGTAATTTAAAACAGAAGAAAAAAAAAAGGATGGAAACAGAATCAGAATTTAAATAAAAAACATTTCCATGTAATAATATGTTTTTACCACCAGTGGTCATCGTGAGCAGCCGTGTGTATAGTACGTAATGGAATTAACTGTTCATTTGCCGAACGGCCGGTTTGCCGACCACCGTTGGAGGGTAAGTACCAGAGTGGTGAATGCGCATGTGTGGAGTGAGGTACCGAACGCAGCACGGACCGGTAAGGTACGTATGAATGAAAGTTTAGGTGAATGGGCGTAAATGTATGAATGGGCGCCAGGCATCTGGCTGAGAGTGGTGTGGATGGGAGACTCACGGTTCTAGGACCCTGGAAACTGAACCCTGGAGCAGGTAAGTATGTATCCATGCACTGGAAATGCTGCGAGGGTGGCTGAGGAGGATGGGATTCCACCGGAATCTAAGGTAGCAAGCCGAGGCTGGAGCACTTGATGCCGGGCACGGAGACCACCGGAATTGTACCGATCAGGGTGAGTAAGGAGCAGGTAGCACTTGGACGGAAGCGGACCACGTGGGAGCGATGTCCAGGTAAGTTGAACCGGGAGTCAAAAGGTTCAACCCAGCAATTCCAGTACTGATTAGGAGGGGGCCTGAGCTTTTATAGCTGGGTAACCCCTCCCACAATTACAGGCTACGCCTTTCTATTTAGCAACATATACATATGTAGGAACAAATGTGTATTTACCTATATATAGATTTAAGTAAGACAACTTAAAACATTTGAAATGTAATAACGCTTAAGTAATCAAGTCCCAATTGAGTAAAAACACTGACTAAGGAGTCTTAAAATAAACATTCCTACTTGTTGTCCTGAACAAAAGTTAATCTTACATATGATAATGGCTGGTAATATTCCTGACGTAAGCCAACAGCTCCACCTGCTGTTTGACACATATAGAAATATATGTCAAAATTACATCAACAGCCATTAACACAAAGACTTGCATTGGAACAGGTCAGAAGGTAAACAGATAAAGAATGACATATAAACCCATGACATAGGGAAATCCAGAAAAAAAAAAAGAAATGCTTGGAAGATCTCTTGAAATCTATTGACATCTGACAATATTAAGACATCTTGAAACAATCTTGAAAATAACACCTGAAGACTCACATTCTTACACTTTGTTTCATCTGTAAACTTAACCACTGCTATCTCTTTGCCAGGGAAAAGTTTTTTAGAATTTTTCTATACTTTACTCTTGAAAAAAAACAATTCCAAACTTTTAAATATTACTCCACAACTTATGAATCAATCTGCTCCAGAGACATCCAAAACATCTATCGTAAATATAAGCCAAATATTAAATATGAAATTATAGATATACAAGTTAATATTTTTCTGGGTAAAAGCTGATCAGAATACAGACTTGGTTTCGTGATAGCCCATGATCAGAATGTGTATCTCAAACTGCAGACTGGGACACAAATTCATATTAGCCTGATTTCCAAACCTGATTTCACCTGCTCTGATATTTCAGTTATTTCCAATTTACATTTTCCCAGTTTAGCAATGATCTTTCTTTTTCTCCTCTTTATTTCCTTCTCCCTCAGTAAAAAAATCTCTCCTTGCACCCATTTCACTAATCCCCCATCCACATTTACATATGCCCCTCTCTGCTACACTCCCCCCTTCTCTCATCTCATGCCTTGCACTAATTTTTCTACTCTTTCACTCCTACCCACAATCGATCTCATCCTAGACCCCATTCACACCTCCTGTCACTTTCTCTCCTCCTGCTTCTAGCAGCTGGTGATATCTCTCCCAATCCAGGGCCTTTCACCTTCTTTACACACACTAAGAAAACCAGAAACCCCACAAACCTCATCACAATACCTTGCCCTTTGCCATCACTTACCAACATTCAGTGTACTCTCTGGAACGCTTGCTCTGTCTGCAGTAATTTAAAATCAACAGCCATACACGACTTTTTCATCTTAAACTCACTCACACTACTTACAGAGAAATGGCTGTCCTCTTCTGATGGCGCTAATCCTGCCTATTTATGTTTTGGTGAGCTCCAATTCTCTCACACTCCCAGACTCAACTGTAAAGGAGTTGGTGTAGGCATCCTTCTCTCCCCTCAATGTACCTTTCAACCAATCATAACTTCCCCTACCCTATCCTTTTCTTCTTTTGAAGTTCACACTGTCCTCCTATTTAAACCCACTCCTTTTAGAATTGCTATCATCTACCACCCCCTCCCCCCGCCCGTCACTCCCTCCCACAGTCATCCTAGGCTCTTCATTGAGCACTTTTCTTCCTGGCTTCCCCGCTTCCTCTCATCTAGCACTCCTTCCCTTATACTTGGGGATTTAAATATCCCAATCAACAACCCCAACTCCACTGATGCTCTCTGTAACCTCCTCCTTTGGCCTTACACAATGATCTCTCCAATATTCCTTTTCCTCTATCTGACCACCATCTGCTGACTTTTGACAACGGCATATCTAAGACCCAATTGACTCCAATGTCTTGACCTAGAGCATTTCTCCACTAATCTCCAAACTCTTCTTTTACCTATCTCAAACCTCACCTGTCCTAGCTCTGCAACCTCCTTCTACAATTCCACTCTCTCCTCTCAACTAGACATCATGGCACCTCCTACATTTAAACGCAGCAAGCGCCCCCAACAACAACCTTGGCACAACAAGGTGACTCAATACCTCCAAAAATGCTCCAGAACTGCGGAACGCTGTTGGAGAAAGTCTCACTGTGCATCTGACTTTCTCCACTATAAATATATGCTGTGCTCATACAGCTTGGCTCTTTCCTCTGCAAAAGTAAATTACTTCAATACCCTCATAACCACACTCTCCCGCGAACCCAAATGACTATTTCACACATTTAATTCTCTTCTTCACCCTATTGTTCCTCCTCCACCTACTAACTTGACCGCTTCAGACTTTGCAACTCTTTGCAATCTCTCATCTTTCTTCTGCCACTTTCAATACTTCCCCTAACCTCACTCCCTCTGCTGTTCTATGTTAATTTGCACCTGCTTCATTGGAAGAGGTTTCTGCTCTGCTCCAGTCCTCCCGCCCCACCACCTGCTCCGTAGACCCAATTCCTTTGCATTTCATCCATACTCTGTCCTCTTCTCTTTCTCTACCTCTAAAATTCTTAATCTCTCTCTCCCCTCTGGCATATTTCCATCGCCCTTCAAACATGCAACTATAACCCTAATTCTAAAGAAGCCGAACCTTGACCCTAACTCCCCATCCAACTACCGTCCTGTCTCGCTACTGCCTTTTGCATCCAAAACCCTTGAAAGAGTTGTAAATGCGAGATTGACAGACTTCCTCGAGTCCAACTCTCTGCTAGACCTGCTTCAGTCTGGTTTCTGTGTTAAGCACTCTGTGGAAACCAAAGTATCCAATGATCTACTCACTGCAAAATCTCATGGTCAGTATTATATCCTAATTCTCCTTGACCTTCCTGCTGCTTTTGATAATGTTGATCATCAACAGCTTCTTCTCATCCTCCGCAATATCGGTCTACAAGATATTGCTCTCTCCTGATGCTCCTCCTACCTCTCCAAGTGCTCTTTCAGTATTTCTTTCTCTGGCTCTGCTTCTTCTCCCTAACTCCTCTCTGTTGGTGTCCCCCAAAGTTTAGTCCTTGGTCCCCTACTGCTCTCCATCTATACTGCCTCCCTTGGTAAACTCATTAGCTCCTTTGGCTTCCAATATCATTTTTATGCAGATGGAACGCAAATCTACCTGTCCTCTCCTGATCTCTCCCTGCCCCTGTTGACTAGTGTTTCTGACTGCCTCTCTGTTATTTCTAACAGGATGGCTGCCCACTTCCTTAAACTCAACTTGACCAAAACTGAAATTCTGGTCTTTACTCCCTCAAGTGTTGCTACTCCTGTGTCTGTCTCCCTCCAAGTCAACGGTGTTACCATCAGCTCCACCACACAGGCTCGCTGCCTAGGTGTTCTCTTTGACTCCGACCTCTCCTTCACCCCTCATGTTCAGTCTATTGCCAAATCCTGCCGCTTCCATCTCAAAAACATTACGCGCTTCCGACCCTACTTAACGCCAGATGCGACTAAGGTGCTGGTCCATTCCACTGTCCTTTCTCGCCTTGACTACTGCAATCTGCTTCTCTGTGATCTTACCCTCCCACCTTATGCCGTTACAGTCCATAATGAATGCGGTGGTGAGGCTCATCTTCCTGTCCGCCCACACCTCCCACACCTCACCCTTCGTTCAGTCCCTTCATTGGCTTCCTGTAAGATAGAAGCCTCATTTTAAAATTCTGGTTCTTGCTTTAAAATCTCTACATAATGCTGGTCCCACCTATCTATCCTTCCTAATACACAAGTATGTCCACTCACCCAGTCTCCACTCCTTCAAAAAAATAATTAAAAACCCACTTCTTCATAAAAAGCGTATCAATTAAACTGTTAATAGCTCCCGACTGATTCCTCTCTTGCAACTGTCATTAGTCTAATACTATCCTTACCTTTTGTGTCACTTTACCCCACTCCCTCTAGCATATAAGCTCATTGAGCAGGCCCTCAACCCCTCTGTTCTTGTGTGTCCAACTTGTTTGGTTACAATTACATGTTTGTTCATCCACCCACTGTAAAGCGCTGCGGAATTTGTTGGCGCTATATAAATAATAACAAAATAATAATAATAATATCATGAAATAAAGAGAAAATAGAAAAGAGAAAATAAGATAGAGTTATCCAGATTAATATTAATCGAGTGGGGGGCGTGTCCTGACCGCGGAGTAAGATGGCCGCTTGAGCTCTGAGCTCCGCAACACGAGCTAGGCAATCTGACCCAATCCGGCACACAGCTGGGACCGATAGCCACACAAGACACACGGAGACACACCGACAAAGGCGACAAAATGATTTTTTTCACCCAAAAAAAGCCGCCAACCTCACAGCAAACTGAACCAGGCCTTCAAGATGGCGCCGGGTACTCCGGCGGAAGCAGCCCCCGCTCAGATGTGGACACACAGTCCGACATGGGGCTCACAGCCTCGATACTACAAGCAGCCCTGGACAAACAATCAACTAAGCTGATCACCACCTGGCAAGAAAGCGTGGCCGAGATCAAGTGAGACCTACATGATCTGGGGTCACGAACAGGGCACATGGAGACAAAGGTGGACAACATTGTGGATGCCCACAACCAAGCTGTCGACAGGATCCAAGCCCTTGAATCACAACTTGCTAAATATGAGGTGAAGCTCATGGACCTAGAAGATAGGTCACGCAGAAGCAATCTGCGACTCCGAGGCATCCCGGAAGAGGTGCTGGAAGCAGACCTACCTGCCTTTGTAAATGGCTTCTTCAAGGCCCTATTACCAGACATCCCGGTCGATATGCTACTGCTGGACCGCCTACACAGGGTCCCGAAGCCCAAGCACATTGCTGCCTCTCTACCAAGAGACACTCTACTTAAAGCTCATTATTTTCATGTGAAGGAGCTGATTCTCCGCAGTAGCCGCACAGCAAAGGACATACCGCCAGAATTCACCAAAGTGCGAGTTTTTACGGACATCTCCGCGGCCACATTACGCCACAGGAAAGCGTTCCAGAAAGTTACCGAGGCCCTCAGAGAACATCGCATACCTTACCGCTGGGGATTCCCTATTCGCCTGCTCGTCACGCACAATGGCGCCACCACAGTGCTCATGACGGTAGAAGAGGGTTTACAACTATTACAAAGATGGAACCTGAGCCCAGCTGAACGTACAGCAGATGCACCGTCCCCCAAATGCCTTGAAAGGGACTGGTCCCAAGCTTGAATTTAGCCCGCAAGTATTTAAGAACGCTACAAACACGCACGTTGAGTGAGGCCTCTGCCCCACACAGTGCATTAAGCTAATGCCATAGGCCTATTATGTTGCTATATTCTGTTACTAAATGTGTGCCACACGTTAGCAGTGCAGTGCGGCAGTTATTATGTTTCCCCATAGCCACCATTGTTGTTGTTGTATCATTGTATACACTATATCACCCGCCTACGGTGTAGCCGCATTGCAGACTCTGTGCCGGCTCAGGCCTTCTACCTAACACCATCTTTGCATTCACCCCCCCCAACACGTACAGCTCGCCTGTACCTTGTACCCACCAAGGTCTGAAATGTATATACTTTCGTTAATTTTGTTCCCCTGGTTTTTATCTCCCCTCCCCACCTTTTACTCCATAACGCCACACTATGCTCCTTTACAGTCCATAAAGATGGCTCACACCGGAAGCCCCCACTGTTGCAGGTGGTAACACAACCCACCCAAAGTCTCATAATCTTAGGCGTCCCGTCCTAGTTTCCCAATTGATACCCAGGGATGGTCACATGTGGATCCAATCTATTGTGCCATTCGGGCAGAATAAGCATCAACCCCATATACCACCCTGAAGATCTACTCCCACATACCCAGGGATGGTCACATGTGGATCCAATCTATTGTGCCATTCGGGCAGAATAAGCATCAACCCCATATACCACCCTGAAGATCTACTCCCACATACCCAGGGATGGTCACATGTGGATCCAATCTATTGTTCCATTCGGGCAGAATAAGCATCAACCCCATATACCACCCTGAAGATCTACTCCCACAATGTGCGTGCCCCACAAACGGCACATGCTTCTGAACAAAGCCAAAAAGCATACCGCAGATATATTATGTCTCCAGGAGACACACTTCCCTAACACCTGTATACCCACATTTGGTGTAAAATACTTCCCCAACCAATACCACTCCACCTTTGCCACTAAGTCAAGGGAAGTATCCATATACATTCACAAGTCAGTGGCCTTTGAGCTACTACAGGAAATATCTGATACACAAGGCAGATACCTCATTTTAATATGTATGTTGAATAATGTGATGTATACTTTGGTTAACGGGTACGCTCCGAATGAGCACCAACGTAACTTTTTGACTAATGTGACCACGATACAGAAAAGATTGACCATAATTTGTGGAGACATCAACCATGTCCTTGATCCCAGACTAGACTCGTCCACGCAGACCCATTCCACACGACAAAGGATGCTTACACCCCACTGCAAAGCCCTGACGAAATTGTTGCAGCAATTCAACTTTTATGACAGCTGGCGCACCTTACACCCCTCTGACAGAAGCTACTCATACTATTTCAAAGCCCACAGGTCCTATTCCAGGATAGATGTGATACTGGTTCAGAGCTCCTCCCTCAACCTGATCCAGGGATGTGACATGGGAGACATAGCCCGGTCACCATATCCCTACATGACGACTTCTGCTTCCATGGCTGCAACCCATGGAGACTCAACACAGGGTTACTATCAGATGAATCCTTCAGACAAGAAACTGAGAGGGAACTCTTACAATATTTTACCACTAACGATATCCCCGAAACACACACCTCCACATGGATAGCACAGAAAGCTGTCATGCGAGGGATCTTCATACGCAGAGCCTCCTACATCATGAAACAGACCCAAACAAAAATCCTCTCCCTCCTCCGCACCCTTCGAGACCTTACCGCCCAACAATTCCTATGCCTGACCACTACTAGAGGGTCTCAAATTGAGCAAACCCAGAAAAAACTTAACGATATCTACATAGCACGAGCGGCACATACCCGACATATGCTAAAAGCAAAACAGTACGTCATGGGTGACAAAGCGAGCGCCTTACTCGCCAATAGATTGCGCACAGCTAACGCTCAGTCAAAAATAGGATACATACTGACTGACGAGGGCAAAAAAGTTATCAAACCCCAAGATATTTGCAATGCCTTCACAAAATTTTATAGCAAACTATATAATCTAAGGGAAGATGCGGCGAAGCACCAGCCCACGCTGAAAGACATTTCCCAATTCCTAGACCAGGTGACTCTCCCCAGACTGACAAACGACCAAATCCACCTATTGACGGACACGGTTACGCCACAAGAAATAGAATAAGTGATCGTGACATTGCCTCCTCACAAATCGCCAGGCCCTGACGGTTTCCCCAATCGGTATTACAAAAAGTTCACCTCCATCCTCTCCCCCCAGATGGCAAAACTATTTGCAACAGCAACTACTGAGAGTAAGCTTCCACAGGAGATGCTGGAGGCTAACGTAGCCACGCTTCCCAAACCAGGCAAGCCTCCCACGAAATTTCGACCCATTTCTCTGCTGAACACTGACATTAAAATAATGGCAAAAGTTTACGCGAATAGGTTGAAGAGTATCCTTCCCGCCTTGATCCACTCCAACCAAGTAGGTTTCATTAGGGGGAGGCAGGGGGTAGACGGGACACGCAAAGCGCTCGCCCTTCTACAAGGCATGAACCTATCGTCAACCAATAGCATACTCCTCTCATTAGACGCCAAAAAGGCTTTTGACGACTTGCACTGGTCATTCCTCCAGGCGGTCCTCGAAATTTTTTATTCCCCCCCAGTTACTGGCGGTGGTTAAGGCGCTCTATAATAAACCCATGGCTAGAGTATTCAATGCTGGTTTTAGGTCAACCCCCTTTTGTATAACAAACGGGACCAGGCAGGGGTGCCCCTGTCACCCATACTGTATATCCTGGCACTGGAGCCGCTGGCGGCTCTGATCAGGGATGACAATCGTATACATGGGGTGCACATAGACGGCAGGGAAATGAAATTAAACCTTTTTGCGGATGACATACTCCTCACCATCACAGATCCCAAGACGTCGCTACCAGCATTTCACGACATACTGCATTCCTACAGCAGGTGTTCGTATTATAAGCTTAATGTCACAAAAAAACACAGGCCATGGGGGTGAGGATGGAGGGCACCTACAAGTCAGACCTTGAGAAGGAATTTGCATATGACTGGAGGACAGACTACCTCACCTTTTTAGGTGTTAGACTCCCGCATAATCTCCCAAAACTTTACGATCTCAACTTTGTCAAACTGAGCAAAGAAATAGTAGAAAGCCTCCAACAATGGAGGAATAAATACATCTCAGGACGCATAGCTGCTGTAAAAATGGTAATACTGCCTAAGCTGCATTACCTATTTAGGACAGTCCCACTGATAGCCCCCACACGCTACTTCCAAACGATGCAAAAACAAATCAATATGTTCATATGGAACGGCAAAAAGCCCAGAATAGGCACGAAAACCCTCTATAGGACCACACAGGCAGGAGGCATGGGTCTACCTAACCTTGAAGGGTACTATAGAGCATCAATCCTGACCAGTCTAGTGGCAGCCCACCATCACATAGACACACCGCAGTGGGTATCTATCGAGAGCTTTTGGACAAACCGGCTCAACATATCCACCCTGATGTGGCTAACCTCCCCCCCCCCCAAAGGCCAGACCTGGCGCAAGCCCTCCCGGCCACAACTGCAACCCTGAAAATATGGGACACCTCACGCGCGCTTCTGTGCATTTGTCACCCTATTTCAATGGCCATGTCCCTCAGAACGCTGGCGGAGTTGATCCCTGAGTTCAATTTCAAGATATGGAACAGATTTGGAATTACACACCTGCATGACCTACAAAATAAGGGAACACTGTTGCCATTTCAAGACCTTAGCACCAGACACACTATCCCACACATAGCGCACTTCTCCTATAGACAACTGAGGTCCTGGTGGCTCATGCATGTGAAGATCCCAGCACCAGACCCCCAAACACACCTCCTTACACACTTCAAGAAACGCTTAATTGCAGGAGCACCTGCCAAGGGCCCCATATCCGCTATCTACACGCTCCTGAACACTGACACAGAACTCTGCCATCTCCCGTGGGCCAAAGCATGGGAAGTAGATATAGGCTGTCAAATCCCCGAGAACACCTGGCTCAAAGTCATCAACAGTTACAAAGGCAGGTCAGCCTGCGCAGCTCACATGGAACTCATGCGCAAAATTGCCTACAGGTGGTACATGGTTCCCACACGCCTGGCTAAGATATTGCCATCACAACCAAACACCTGCTGGCGCTGCCATAGAGACACAGGCACATTCCTACACATCTGGTGGGGCTGTGACATCATACAGAGCTACTGGAAAGAGGTTCTTTACCACATCCACTCACATACCAACATTGTAGTCCCCAACTCCCCAGCCTCCTTCCTACTGTTTATGTACGGAGACCAATACTCCCCAGCCGATAAATGCTTGATATACCACATCCAAATTGCTGCCTTGACACACATTGCCAGAAACTGGCTTTCCACATCCACAACGACTATGCAAGAACTGACTAAGTATGTCTCAACAGTGGGGAGCTATGAAACGCACACCGCCTCCACAACAAAACGTCAATCCTGGAAACGGGAGGTTTGGGAGAACTGGGCTAAGAGAGCCACAGACTAGAAGACAAGGGAGAATACACACACACATACAGAGACACAGATATAAAGACGATAGCTAAGAGACACGAGACAGAAACGGGCACACACACACAGTCAGACACACACACACACACATACACAGTCAGACACACACACAGTCAGACACAAACACACAGTCAGACACACACACACACACACACAGTCAGACACACACACACACACAATCACTCACATTAACACTTTTTTTTTTAAATGTAACCCCCCCAGCCTCCTTACCTTTGGGAGTGCTGGGGGGGGGGGAGTTCCTCTTTCTCCCTGGTGGTCCAGTGGCTGCCGGTCGGACTGATGGGCTGGCTGCTGGGTGGGCGGCTGGTGAGGGAGCACTTCCTCTGAGCTGACTGCTCAGAGGAAGAGCTCCCTTGCCAGGCGCCCGCCCAGCATGTCTGTTAGCTGCGAGGCTAACAAGGCATTTGCCCTGGGCATTTGGGGGCTGCGTTTTTTGCCGCCCCCTGAAAAATGCCGCCTATAAGCTTATTTGCCTCGCGGCTAATACGTCCCTGGATGTGTGCGAGGTGTGTGCCACGGACATATAGTTCTACCGAATAGGGATTTGAATCTCTACATTGCATTTCACATCAGTTTGAGTGAGCTCATTAATGGAAGGACAAAAATCATTGCATACACTTGGTTATTACTCCAAAATAAAAATATAAATATATTTGTACCTGTTTTTTTTAGTCTTTAATTAATTAGTGTCAGGTCAAAGTAGGTAAAACACATGTTTAAAGGAACACTGAAACATTAGGAATACAAACATGTATCCTAATGTTAGAGTGTTTTGATTTCTATTTAGATTCAAGCCCCACCCCCACTTTGATAAGTGTAATACTTGTTACTTTTAGTCCCCCAGCGCGGTGTGCTAGTTTTGCCACAGCCACCACTCCTCCACTGGCTGATATCATCAGTACATGATCTCAGATATTTCCAATGCTTGTTAGCACTCTTTTGCTGCAATCAAATTTTACATTGCTAATAAAGGGTCTTTTATATCAATAATTGTGTGCCTCTAATAAAAATAAATAATAATAATAGTTTATACTCCCAAGTTAGATGTTCCTGATCACACTGGGAACTATTTATTATTACAAATTAATTAATTATTGTTTAGGTACAGTCCTCTCTATTCCCAACCTATACATAAAATATTTTCATAAACTGGAAAACAGATTCAGACTATGTTATCAAGTATTTGAACATTTTTATGTTCTTCACCCTTTGGTCTGTCTGAATCACTTTTATGATATTTTTTATTTATATCCAAATAACATTAATTTTTAAATTTAAAACAAAGAATTTTCAATATGCCATTTATAAAATGGTAAATCTATTTTAAATATTCTAACTAATATTAATGTTGTGTTTTGGTCCACTGCGGTTAATGAACAAAGAAATCATTTTACAATTATTTAGGTGTGTAGTAAACCAACAACTTACAATAAATTAATATGCCAACCGCAGCAATGTCTCGCTATGTAAGAGTGCTGCATTCTGCAGTGGCAATGTGCAAAAGTATGGTAATTAGTCGATCTGAAATAAATCATGAACAAGCTAAAAGAAAGACTGAACTCTGGAAAACATGAATGGTGTTAAACATACATAAATCAGAAGCTATTATATGTCGATGTTGAAGAATACTATGATGTAATGCAGGGCTTATAAAATATTTATGCTTGCCAGTGAGTTGGAAAGTAAAACAGGGGAAAAACCATTTATACCACATATATAAAAATACACTCCTACAAGGCATGAGTCAAATGTGTAAAACAAAACACAAATCAAGCTCACTGAAAGGTGTTACTTTCTATGTGGGCATGAGGACTCATCACCACTGCACTGACTTTGATTCAGTTTTGAAAACCTCTTTGACAGCGTTAAGCTAATTGTTAGAGGTGAGGTCAAAGGGTGATAACTCCCCATCCCATCAATTTAAGTAATGATTAAATACACTGCTGTACAGAATCTACAAATCATAAGCCTGATTAAAAAATAATCACTTGCCCCAGACATAGCAGCTCTGAAAGATTTTGTTTCCACAACTATCCCAGAATGCAATGTGAGTAAGCATGGCTGCCTCTTCAAATTCACAGCCCACATTTCACCATTTCTGGGGTATGTGGAAGGAAAACGAGGTCTTTTGAAGTGAGAAGGTGAGAGAAAATATTAAGAACCAGGAGTGACAATAGTAAATGCTGTATATTTAATCGTGTCTTTGGGCATCGAGGTAAAAGCAATAAACTAATTTACCACCATGACCTATAGATCATCGTTTGTAGCAAATAAATGCCCTCTGTTAGCATGAAATAAAAAAAAAAACTCAGATAGAGCTACCTAAACAGATACAGTTGGAGAACTCAGTACTAATCCTATCAATGTCTTAATGAAGCATTTTTCTCCTGACTTCTGACTTCATCCTGATTGGCCATATACACCACACACCTTCAGAAAGGTGCAAACCATCCCTCTTTGTAGGTTCTATGATTTCAAACTTCAAAAGTTACAATAGTGCCTATTCCTGGCACTATGCCTCCCACGATAAAAATACCAGAGCATTGCCCTAATGAGTAGCGTCAACACAATTCCAT